AGAAAAAAATATAAAGTCAGCACATTGGGCTTTCCTTCTTCCCTGAAGGTCTAAAGTATGTAGTAAGGTCTGGAGGCCTTACTACATCTTAAAGGTCAGTAAATGGGGGCCAGGTGCAGTGGCTCACACCTATAATCCCAGTGCTTTGGGAGGCTAAGGCAGGAGAATTGCTTGAGCCCAGGAGTCATGCAATAGTCAGACCCAGGACGAGCCTGCCTCCATGGACGGGTGAATGAGGCTCTTCTCTTGTCTATCTCTTTCCTGTCTGGCACTGAGTGGGCAAATCAAGCCAGAAGAAGCGGTGAGCTTCATTTAAACCATCATCCCAGCTTTGAATGCTCCAAAACAGCTTTCCTTCTAGCTCAGCTATAAATAAAGTGGTGCTTTCATTTTTCAGTTAGCTGTTGGTGTCTAGTAAACCCTTCTTAACCAATTCTTCTCAGTGGAGGTCCGAGGGAGCCAACCCTGATTTGTACATTTGCCAATTTCCTTGTTGTAAATACACTTACCGTGGCCAATTTCAACAAACCCACATGACATCATTCAGAAGATATGCACATTCACACACCATTATGTAGTATTTCGACCACACAGACACAATAGGCATGAATGAGCTTAGGAGTACAGATGATAGAAAACTGTAGCAAAATAATTAGGAAGTGATGAATTATGAATATTTGTTACCTTCATTTTAAATGATTTAATTAAAAGTTGATATGGTTTAATTTTTAATAATCACTGTATTTATTAACCAGCTCATAACATTCCTGAAAATTTGGCAATTAGTTCTCGTGAGCCCATAAAACTGGCTCTGGCACACCACTGCATTTATCTATTATTCCTTGCATGTGGTGTTCTCTCAATCAAGCTCTCTATTGCTTTCCTCTGCCAAGTGCCCTTTTCTTTGAGGAACAGCTTCTTTGTTTTATTTTGTTCTGAGGGGCTGTCAATTACATGACAATTACATCCCACCAACCGGTGGTAACAGGACCTGTGCCTAAGGTTAGGCCAAGCCATGGGGTGAGTGGGGAGGTGGCAGGGCTGAGTGTGGGCATTTCTGGGACCTCGGCTGTAATACTACCAACTATCAACCCCATTCTCTCTTGCCAAGTTGGGGGAAGCAACCTAGCCAGCACCAAAACCATCCCCTACAAGTATTTACATTATTGAAAGACCCTGACCTCACTGTCCTCCCCATCTGTCTCTTGCAGGGGCTCCCTCCCTGCAGGGGCTCCCCCTCTGCAGGGTCACTGTGGGCTACCTGTGGCCCCAGACAAGGGTCATACCTCCGAAGGACCCTTTCCACACAGCCCTCTCTGTTCTCAGGTTCTGGCAACCACTCCCTCCTCTCACACCTACCTGCCTAGGGTTAGCAACAGCTCTGCAGGTAATAATCCGCATTCACTGCCCACATCTTTGTAAACACTGTGTCTTAGTCCATTCAGACTGATATAACAAAATACCATAGACCAGGTGGCTTCTAAACAATAGGAATTTATTTCTAATAGTTTTGGATGCTGAGAAGTCTGAGATCAATATGCCAGCAGATTTGGTGGCTGGTAAGGACCAGCTTCCTAGTTCATAGAAGGTAGGAGCGGTTAATAAGCTTGCTGGACCGCTTTTATAAAGGCACTAATCTCATTCCACCCTCCCCCCTCATAACCTAATCACCTCTCAAACCTCCCACCTCCTAATACTATTGCACAGGGGATTAGGTTTCAACATATGAATTTTGGAAGGATAGAAACATTCAGTTTATAGCATAATCCCTTTATTAAACGCTCTTCAAATTAGCCAATTTGGGTGTGCCATGCATTTACTGCAGGAACCTGGCGGACCTCCCTCTGTACTCCCCACGCTGCTCCGTTCATTATGTTCACAGGAGGTTTTGTTGGCCCAGCGGACCAGAACACAGGCTCTGGAGTCAGCCCCGAGTTTGAATTCTACCTCTCCTATTTACTAGCTGCAATACCAGACTCACATTACTTTACATCTTTGTGCCTCCATGTTGGTCACCTGTAAAATGAGGATAGCAGTCCCCACCTCGAAAGGTCATAATAAGGATGGAGTGACACAGTCCATGTAAAAAACCTAATATAATGTGTGATACCTACAAACTGCCAGTAAGTGTTGATGACTATTATTGCTTTTTTTTTTTTTTTTTTTTTTTTTTGAGACAGAGTCTCACCCTGTCACCCAGGCTGGAGTGCAGTGGCACAATCTCGGCTCACTGCAAGCTCCGCCTCCCAGGTTCACTCCATTCTCCTGCCTCAGCCTCCTGAGTAGCTGGGACCACAGGTGCCCGCCACCACACCCGGCTAATTTTTTTGTATTTTTAGTAGAGACGGGGTTTCACCGTGTTAGCCAGGATGGTCTCGATCTCCTGACCTCGTGATCCGCCTGCCTCGGCCTCCTAAAGTTCTGGGATTACAGGCGTGAGCCACCGCGCCTGGCCTATTACACTGCTTTTTAAAAATATACAACAATTATTAACTATATTCATCATGCTGCAGGTAGAGCTCCAAAACTTACTCATCCTAAGTGAAACTATTTTGATTATATTTCCCTTACTGTATTGTGAACTGTTCTTTGTTATTTTCCAGATTTTTCTCTCTATAAGTGGAGACCCAGAAGCTAAACCTGGATTAAAAGGACTCGTACCACAGGAATGGCACATAGGCCCCCATACCCCCATGATGGTACTGGTTTCCATTGAGTCCACTTAAGGCCTCCAGTTCTCCACAAGAGCTCCCAAGTGCAGATGGGAGTCAGTACTTGAGATATGAACCTATATATCTTCTCTGGCTTGGGTCTGCAGGAAATGAGAAAGTTGGTTGGTGGGACTAGTGTCTAGTGGTGGCAGCCTGGTGCAGCCATCTCAGGAAGACTGGGTCTCAGCTGCCACAGGGGATTCAGGACAGGAGACCATACCTACTGCAGGTGCCCCCCGACAGGTGTGTGTGTGAGCACTGAGGGGTCAGGGTCAAGCAAGTGTTGCGTCATCATCCCTAATTGTCTGCCCTGCCACCCACCATTCCAAGAGCATCAAGAGGACACCTGAGGGCTGCAAGGGTCTGAGAGTTCCTGGAAGAAATGCCAGATGCTTCTTTTTTATGACTCGCCTCGAGCTTCTCCTGTATCTGCGCCTGACTGTGGAAGGAGAGCTTGGAGTAGCCTTGACAGACCTGAGTTCTAAACCCGGCCCTGCCACATCCTAGCCATGTGCCTGTGGGTAAGCCATTTTCCCTCTTTGAGCCTCTGCTTCCTCGTTTGTAAAAACATGCCAAGAACAGTATCTATTTCACCAGCTGGCAGTGAGAATTATTCAACTCCACTGACTCCCTTAGTGCCCAGCACACAGTTTGCATGTAGCAGGTGGGCACTTTTAAGGAACATGGCCTGGGGAGGACCTATTGGGACTCTGGGGAAAGAAAGGAGGCCATGCCAGACATCTCTGTCTCCTGCTGAGCTCTGCACTTGGTTTTCCTGATGCCTGGTTTGTTCCCATTTATTCTTATTAAGATTCTCCACCTGCATCCCACCCCCTTCACCGCCCTCTGGCCTGGCCAGCCTGAAGTTTTCTGGGAGAACAAAGGAGCTTCTCTGGTAGCAACCAGCCTAGGGCTCAAATCTGGTTTCTTCCTAGGGAGAAGAGACCTGGAATATCTGGATTCCAAAAGGGCCTGAAATCTCTGCCTGGAGTAGGAGGGTTTCTGTGTGTAGAGCAGAGGTTACCATGTCTGGGGGACTTTCCACCTTTATTTTACTTAGCCTGCACAGTGTTTTGGAAACATTTGAATTCATTGCTGAGATTTAGAAACCAGCAGCTTTCACCTGGCCCTGTGCCCACACTCCTGCCCTGGCAACAAGCAGCTGGAGCTGGGTGTCCACTGCCCCTGTAGTGGGAGCACGAGCTCTGTGGCTTGTCAGTTTCCACCTGGTTTCCTGGGTGCAGTTCCAGGGTTTCCAGCCTGGCCTTGTAGGCATGTGCCTCTGTGTCCTCAAGACAGAGGTGGCTGGACAAACTTTTGTGCATGTGTACGCAACTTCTAGGGTTCCCACCTCCCCGTTTAACCATCTACCAGGATCTGCACCCCCATGCCACAGATGTAACTCCAATTACTACAACTGAACCATCTCTGCTCCCCTCAAAAGCCAATCTCTTTACTGTAAACTAGATCCCTCCTGCTGTGGTTTGAATGTTTTTGTCCCCTCCAAAATGCATGTTTCGGGAACTTACAGTATCGGGACGAGAGACCTAAGAAGAGGTGTTTAGAATCTAGGCAGAGCCCTCATGAATGAGTTAATGCCACTATTAAAAGTGCAAACTTGCAGTGAGCCGAGATTGCGCCATTGCACTCCAGCCTGGGCAACAGAGTGAGACTCCGTCTCAAAAAAAAGAAAAAGAAAAAAATAAAAAAGTGCTTGCTGGAGTGGGTTCCCTCTTCTCTCCTGCTCTTCTGCCATGAGAAGACAGAGCTAACTGTTCCTCCCCTCTGGAAGACATAGCTTTCAAGGCGTCATCTTGGAAGCAGAGACATCACGATCCAAACTGTTGGTGCCTTAATCTCCACCTTACCTGCCTCCAGAACTGTGAGAATAAATTTCTGTTCTTTATAGATACTCCAGTCTGTGGAGTTATAGCAGCACAAAACAGACTAAGACCCCACCTCTCTTGACCACTCAAGGACACCATTCCAGCAATTTCCCAGATCTCTTCTACATCATCACTTTTTCTCTCTACCAGGCCATGGTTATTTCTCCCATCTTAATAAAAACCTTCTCTTATCCCCACTTGCCCTACCAGGTACTGCTCTAGTTCTCTGTGATCTTCTGCAGCTAAATTCCTCTAAAGAGCTACACTCATTGTCTCCAAATCATCTTTCATTCACTCTTAAAACCACTCCAGTCAGGCTTTAACCCTGTCACTCAACCAAAACTGCTCTGGCAAGATCAGTAGTAACATGTTGCAAAATCCAAGGGCAAATTATCAGGCTCACCTTACTTGGCCTGTCTGTCGGCACCGTCTGTCAGAGGCAACCACGTCCTCCTTTGGCTGTCAAGACACCTGATTCCGCTCCTTTTCATTCCCCTTTGCAGGTTCCTCTTGTTCTCCCCATCTTCTTAAGTGAGAGTGCCTCCACGCTCAATATATAGTTATCTTTCTCCCTACCCTCACTCCTTCGGTGATTTCATTTGACTTCATTTTTTAAATAAACCTACCTGTCAGCAACTTCCCAACGTATACCTCCAGCCCAGGCTTTCTCCTGAACTCCAGGCTTACATGGGCCCCTGCTACACAGCTACTCCACCAGGAGGTCTACAAGACACCAAAAACTTCACATATCCCAAACAAAACTGCTGATTGTCTCCTCAGAACCATTCCACCTGTGCTCCTCCTTCTCACCAAACCTATTCCACCTGTGTTCTCCTAGCTTAGATTACCACTCTGTGCTTCAATTGCCTGATACTTCTCACTACACCCACTGCTACCCACATGATCTTTTACTTGGTTAATTTTTAGAGACAGGGTTTTGCTCTGTTGCCCAGGCTGGCATGCCAGTGACATGGTCATAGCTCACTGTAACTTTAAACACTTGGGGGTCAAGCAATCCTTCCCACCCCAGCCTCCTGAGTAGCTGGGACTACAGGTGTGCACCACCACGCCGGGTTCGGCATGGTCTTTTTAGCTGGAATATTAATTACTACAGCCTCCTGACTGTTCTCCCTGCCTCCTTGCTTGCACCCTTGTAGTCTATTCATATCACAGCAACACAAGTCAGATCCTGTCACTCCCCAGAAGGCTAATGACTCTGTTCCACTTGGAGTAAAGCCCAGAGTCCCTACCATGACTATAAGGCTCTACACAAATGGCCCCCCTCTGTATTCATCCCTACCACTCTCCCCTCACTCCTCCTGCTGCAGCCATCTGGACTGTTTGCTGGTTCTCAAAAATGCTACCATACTCCCATCTTTGGAGCAGTCTTTGCACTGGCCCTTCTGCCTGGAACATTCCCTAGGGTGCCACATAGCTATGACCCTCAACCTCTTCAAGAAATCCCATGTGAAATTCTGCCCTGCCTTCCTCTGACCCGCCCTAGCAATCCTTACTCTGCTTTTTTTCCCCCTTAGCATGTCATCTTCTATGATACCATATTATGATTTACTTATTTATAATATTTATTGTCTGTCTCTCCCCCATCCCCAATCCCAAGTGCCTAGCCACAAAATTAGCACTCAATAAATATTTCTTGAATATATGAATTTCTAGGAAGGGCCAGGGCTTTGATAAGATTATCAGAGAGTTTGCGGTCCAAAAAACATTTAAAAAAAAAAACAAAAAAAAAAAAACCAAAAAAAAAAAACAAGATCAAAACACCAAACACTTCCAAGGAGTAAATATGTTTGGGAAAAAAAACACACTCCCACACACCAAACCCTCACTATTCTAGTCCTCAAAGAACCTTTGTGAGCAGAGACACAGCAGTAGAACCAATATATATATAGCTCTTGGTTTCTGCCGATTCCTTCCTGATAATCTGTCGTTCTGGTTTGCATGACTATGACAGTGTTGGGGGTTCCCTCCCCGCTCTCTCGGGAGACCTTGAATGCTGGCTGGGCAGCAGCTTCTAGACGACATGAGAGAGCTCACTCAGCAGCACATAGAGAGGACAGACCATGAGATTTACCACGCAAAGCGGGCACTGTATGTGAAGTACATGCTGGTAGCAACAAGAACAGCGGTAAATACAGAACAGAAAATAACCATCTTTGAAATGACAACAAATGGGACACATTATCTAAGCACTAACACCTAAGGAGGTGGCTGCCCAAGCTCTGGTGGGCAGCTCCTCAGGAGAGAGAGGCTGACTTCTTTCCAGGTTGCCTGGTCTTCAGTCCTTGTAACTTTTCGTCTTTTAGCGCCTTCAGGAATGTATCTGCAGGAGAGCAAAACAAACTTAGCCGTAATAGAAAAGACGTAAGGGCTTTTCCTAACACTTCCAAAGCAAACTCCTGGGAAGCAACGGTGCTTCCTCGAACTTAAAACCCCATTTGTGATCCAAGATGGGAGAGAAAAAAAACAAAAAACCGAAAACTCTGACTGTAAAAACACGTAACTGCTTCTGACTGTACATGCAACACATCCAGTTACATGTGTTTTTACAGTCAGAGTTGCTAAGTCCTGGATTTCTTCTTCTTCTTCTTCTTTTGAGAGGAAGTCTTGCTCTTTCACCCAGGCTGGAGTGCAGTGGCACAATCTTGGCTCACTGCAGCCTCCACCTCCTGGGTTCAAGCGATTCTCCTGCCTCATCCTCTCCAGTAGATGAGATTACAGGTGTGTGCCACCAAGCCTGGTTCATTTTTGTATTTTAGTAGACACAGGGTTTTACCATGTCGGTCAGGGTGGTCTCCAGCTCCTGACCTCAAATGATCTGCACGCATTGGCCCCCCAAAGTGTTGAGATTACAGGTGCCAGCCACCACACCCGGCCCCTGGATTTCTTAACTATGTAGTCCGTTACGATACTATGTATTACAAATACATAGTATTATCTATGTATTCATAGTTAAGAAATCCAGGCCTTAGCAAAGCCCAGTTTTTCTAGGGACAGTTTTCCTTCCATGGCTATGAGAAAGGGTGCATTACAGTGTGTCCGATGAACTGAACACCATTTCCATGGCCACATGGACCTAAGCATTTAGGTTATTTCATACTTCCCTCCTCTGTGTGGCAGGGGAAGCCAACTTAAGCCGTTATATACAATAGTTGGAATGATCTTTTTAGAACTATCTGCCCTCCTCCAGTGGTCAAGTACAAGCCTTAGTCAAAACAAGTGATAGGAAAGACAAAGTCTGCAGGACAACCTACCGCTACTGAAAGTTCTACTTTGCAATAGGTCCTTCTTAGAGCACAATGCATTTAACAACTTTACCCTCCAACAGGGAGGAGTCATTCAGCTCATAGGCTAAGGGATCCTGCCCGCATCAACACACCTGGTCTTCCCTGGTCCAGAGCCCTAAGACTTCAGACCTAAGACCAGATGTCAGCCCAGGATCTGGTGAGAGAACTACTGGCGCCAAGCCCACGGAGTCCGAGGGGGCTGCCCTCCAGCATTGAGAAGTGGTGTCCCAAAGCTGTCCAGGAAATGGCCTTGGGTCTCTTGCACAACTCCCACCTCCTCCTTAAGATACTCCAACTGACTGTCACCTACTTCACCTTCCCCCCATGGAGAGCCCTGGTTTAAGACCGAATATTAAAGCTTAGGGACTGTCTGTGGTGGGTGGAGCTCCAGAGTACAGGGTAGGGGGATGACTGAGCAGGAGGATTAAAGTTCAGGATGGGGTGTTGATGGATGGAGTTCCAGGTGTGGAGGCTCAGAGTCCAGATTACCCAAAGGGTTTAGGATGGAGGCAGGATGGAGTTTGGTACTAAAGGGCTCATGAAGTTCATATCTGTGGTTGGAGGAGTCGGTTGAAGTCCAGGATAAGGGAGTCTGGGTGCTAGGGAATCGATTTTGGATCTGGGACTACTGGGGACTGGAGTCAAACCAGGGCTACATTTCGGGGCGGGGCACGGAGCCAAGGAGGGAGCCAGGGCAAGGCTAAGGCTGGGCTCGGTGGCCCCGGCGAGGTCACGCACAGCGCTGGGAGTCGAAGCCGTCCCCAGTGATGGTGAGCAGCTCCAGCTCCTTAATCCGGATCTCCAGCTCGCACAGTTCCTCGGGGTGGGAGGCAGAGGCGAGCCTGGGGGTCGAGGGGCGGGGGGCCAGGGGCGAGACAGCCACCTCAGGCCCCGGCGGCGGCGAGTAGAAGAAGCGCAGAGGCTCGTAGGGGATGGAGGCCAAGCCAGAGGGCCAGGGCGAGGGCCAGGGGCGCTCGCCGGGGGGACCCAGGCCGGGTGGTGGCGGGGGCGGGGGCGCCGGGGCGGGGGGCGCCTGGGGCAGGGACCGGGCCCCCCCCGCCCCGCCCACTGTCGCCCCGCCCGCCTTCAGCGGCACGAAGAGCTTCTTCCAGATGTTGAAGTCGCTGAGCGGGGACGAGGAGATGCCGCGGTCGTACAGGGACGGGAAATAGAGGGGCGGGGCCGACCGCTGGCTCATGGTGGGGCTGTGGCTGCCGCGCCGCCCCTTTGGCATCGTTTGAATGAGGGTCTGCGTGGGAGGAACCCCGCGCCGGGAGACGCGCGCTCAGGCCCCGAGTCGCCGGGGTTTCGAGGTTCCACAAGCCCCGCCCCGACGGAGCGCGGCCCCACCCTTTCGCCTCAGCCCCGCCCCGAACAGGCGGGGTTCCAAAGCTCGGACGACCACGTCCCGGAACGTGGCCCCGCCCACCGGCGGCAGGCCAAGCCCCGCAGTGAGAAAGCCACGCCCCCGGCCTCGCCTCGCCTCGCCTAGCCTCCGGTCCCTCGACTCCACCCACCGCCTCGCTCTGGCTCTGCGACGCTCCTGGCTCCCGTTGTCACATCCCAGCATACCCTCATCCAGAGCAGGGAGCGAGCCAGAGCTGCGGGAGAAATCTTGCTTCAGGCTTCCTCTCTTTCGCCTATCAGGGAGAAAAGTATTTCCTAGAAACCTGGCCCCTGCACCAGCAGACTTACCTCATTGCCTCACTGGCCGGGCCCACAGCAAAGAAGTCTGAGAAATGAGTGTCTGATTTTTCATCCACTACTATGGGAGGCAGACAAAGGAGAATATGATTGGGAATGGCCGTTAGAGTCAACCCATGTATCTGCCAAACTTTAGCAGTGCTGAGGGAGATTCTAGAAAAGGGGATCCTCATCTGGTTTGTAATAGATCTGAAGGAGTGTTTTCTTTTAATTCTCTTCCAAGTTTAATTCTCTTCCAAACACAGATATCATCAGGAGCTAAAAGGCAACCAGCTAACCACCAAAAGGAAATCCTGTCCGCCCCACCTCAAATACCTCACCCATTGCTTATGAGCGATTTGGATATTTTGTCCAAAGGACATGACAGCTCATTTACGTGAGTAACCTGTATTAGCCATAGACTGAGGGGAAATAACTAATACATTTTCTTGAGAGCCTCTGCCTAATGATCACTGGTATGAATAGTGATGGGTGGAGGCCAGTTAAAGAGTATCAGCTTCACTAGTTAAATACATATATGCATATGTATCTGCACACACAGTGCAAATTGCGTGTGTGTGTGTGTAGCAGCAAAGTGGAGAGAGTCAGATATTCAAGCTGGGTAGCCTTGGACAAGTTGCTTGACTTCTAAGTAAGTTTTCTATAAAATAAAAATAAGAAAACCAGGCTGCCTCATAGGGTTGTGATCAGACAGAACAGTGTGTGTGGAACACTTGGACACTTTGTCCAAACACAGTAGGCAGCGATCCCTACTAAGGGGCATGTCTGAAACTGGGAAGCTTTTGCTTCCCACACTTAGTTGTCACACAGAGTATTTGCACTCTGACTTTGGCAGCCACCCATCATTGTTTATTCATACCAGTGATCACTAGGCAGAGGCGCTCAAGATAATGTATTTCCTCTCAGTCTATGGCTAAACCAGGCCATGTGCGATAGCTCAGCACCCAGCCTGTAATCCCAGCACTTTGGGAGCCTGAGGTAGG